TTGCAGAGGATTCCAAGAAGAAGAAGAAGACGAAGCAAAGGCAAAAGAGTCCGGAGAGAAAGGCTGCAGAGGACCCCAAGAAGAAGAAGAAGCAAAGGTAAAGTAGCCCGGAGAGAAAGGCTGCAGAGGATCCCAAGAAGAATAAAAAGAAGCAAAGGCACAGTAGCCCGGAGAGAAAGACTGCAGAGGATCCCAAGAAGAAGAAGAAGTAAAGGCAAAGTAGCCCGGAGAGAAAGGCTGCAGAGGATCCCAAGAAGAAGAAGAAGCAAAGGCAAAAGAGCCCGGAGAGAAAGGCTGCAGAAAATCCCAAGAAGAAGAAGAAGTAAAGACAAAGTAGCCCGGAGAGAAACATTGCAGAGGATCCCAAGAAGAAGAAGAAGCTAAGGTAAAATGGCCCGGAGAGAAAGGCTGCAGAGGATCCCAAGAAGCAGAAGAAGCAAAGGCAAAGTAGCCCGGAGAGAGGCTGCAGAGGATCCCAGTAAGACGAAGAAGAAGCAAAGGCAAAGTAGCCCGGAGAGAAACGCTGCAGAGGATCCCAAGAAGAAGAAGCAAAGGCAAAGTAGCCCGGAGAGAAACGCTGCAGAGGATCCCAAGAAGAAGAAGAAGCAAAGGCAAAGTAGCCCGGAGAGAAAGGCTGCAGAGGATCCCAAGAAGAAGAAACAAGGGCAAAGTAGCCCGGAGAGAAAGGCTGCAGAGGATCCCAAAAAGAAGAAGAAGAAGCAAAGGCAAAGTAGCCCGGAAAGAACGGCTGCAGAGGATTCCAAGAAGAAGAAGAAGGAGCAAAGGCAAAATAGCCCGGAGAGAAAGGCTGCAGAGGATCCCAAGAAGAAGAAGAAGCAAAGGCAAAGTAGCCCGGAGAGAAAGGCTGCAGAGGATCCCAAGAAAAAGAAGAAGCAAAGACAAAAAAATCCGGAGAGAAAGGCTGCAGAGGATCCCAAGAAGAAGAAGAAGCAAAGGCAAAGTAGCCCGGAGAGAAAGGCTGCAGAGGATCCCAAGAAGAAGAAGAAGCAAAGGCAAAGTAGCCCGGAGAGAAAGGCGGCAGAGGATCCCAAGAAGAAGAAGAAGCAAAGATAAAATAGCCCGGAGAGAAAGCCTGTAGAGGATCCCAAGAAGAAGAAGAAGCAAAGGCAAAATAGCCCGGAGAGAAAGGCTGCAGAGGATCCCAAGGAGAAGAAGAAGCAAAGGCAAAGCAGCCCGGAGAGAAAGGCTGCAGAGGATCCCAAGAAGAAGAAGAAGCAAAGGTAAAGTAGCCCGGAGAGAAAGGCTGCAGAGGATCCCAAGAAGAAGAAGAAGCAAAGGCAAAGTAGCCCGGAGAGAAAGGCTGCAGAGGATCCCAAGAAGAAGAAGAAGAAGAAGAAGCAAAATAGCCCGGAGAGAAAGGCTGCAGAAGATCCCAAGAAGAAGAAGCAAAGGCAAAGTAGCCCGGAGAGAAAGGCTGCAGAGGACTCCAAGAAGAAGAAGAAGCAAAGGCAAAATAGCCCGGAGAGAAAGGCTGCAGAGGATCCCAAGAAGAAGAAGAAGCAAAGGCAAAATAGCCCGGAGAGAAAGACTGCAGAAGATCCCAAGAAGAAGAAGAAGCAAAGGCAAAAGAGCCCGGAGAGAAACATTGCAGAGGATCCCAAGAAGAAGAAGAAGCAAAGGCAAAGTAGCCCGGAGAGAAAGATTGCAGAGGATCCCAAGAAGAAGAAGAAGAAGCAAAGATAAAGTAGCCCGGAGAGAAAGGCTGCAGAGGATCCCAAGAAGAAGAAGAAGCAAAGGCAAAATAGCCCGGAGAGAAAGACTGCAGAGGATCCCAAGAAAAAGAAATAAAAGCAAAGTAGTCCGGAGAAAGGCTGCAGAGGGTCCCAAGAAGAAGAAGAAGCAAAGGCAAAGCAGCCCGGAGAGAAACGCTGCAGAGGATCCCAAGAAAAAGAAGAAGCAAAGGCAAAGTAACCCGGAGAGAAAGGCTGTAGAGGATCACAAGAAGAAGAAATAAACGCAAAGTAGCCCGGAGAGAAAGGCTGCAGAGGATCCCAAGAAGAAGAAGAAGCAAAGGCAAAGTAGCCCGGAGAGAAAGGCTGCAGAGGATCCCAAGAAGAAGAAGAAGCAAAAGCAAAGTAGCCCGGAGAGAAAGATTGCAGAGGATCCCAAGAAGAAGAAGCAAAGGCAAAGTAGCCCGGAGAAAGATTGTAGAGGATCCCAAGAAGAAGAAGCAAGTAGCCCGGAGAGAAAGGCTGCAGAGGATCCCAAGAAGAAGAAGAAGCAAAGGCAAAGTAGCCCGGAGAGAAAGACTGCAGAGGATCCCAAGAAGAAGCACGGAGAGAAAGGCTGCAGAGGTCCCAAGACAAAGAAGAAGCAAAGGCAAAAAAGCCCGGAGAGAAAGGCTGCAGATGAGCCCAAGAACAAGAAGAAGAAGCAAAGGCCAAGTAGCCCGGAAAGAAAGCTGCAGAGGACCCCAAGAAGAAGCAGCAAAGGCTAAGTAGTCCGGAGAGAAAGGCTGTAGAGGATCCCAAGAAGAAGAAGAAGCAAAGGCAAAATAGCCCGGAGAGAAAGGCTGCAGAGGATCCCAAGAAAAAGAAGAAGCAAAGGCAAAAAAGCCCGGAGAGAAAGGCTGCAGAGGATCCCAAGAACAAGAAGAAGAAGCAAAGGCAAAAGAGTCCGGAGAGAAAGGCTGCAGAGGACCACAAGAAGAAGAAGCAAAGGCAAAATAGCCCGGAGAGAAAGGCTGCAGAGGATCCCAAGAAGAAGAAGCAAAGGCAAAGTAGCCCGGAGAGAAAGACTGCAGAGGATCTCAAGAAGAAGAAGAAGAAGAAGCAAAGGCAAAGTAGCCCGGAGAGAAAGGCTGCAGAGGATCTCAAGAAGAAGAAGAAGCAAAGGCAAAGTAGCTCGGAGAGAAAGGCTGCAGAGGATCCCAAGAAGAAGAAGAAGAAGGAAAGGCAAAATTGCCCGGAGAGAAAGGCTGCAGAGGATCCCAAGAAGAAGAAGCAAAGGCAAAACAACCCGGAGAGAAAGGCTGCAGAGGATCCCAAGAAGAAGAAGAAGCAAAGGCAAAGTAGCCCGGAACGAAAGGCTGCAGAGGATCCCAACAAGAAGAAGAAAAAGAAGAAGAAGAAGAAGCAAAGGCAAAGTAGTCCGGAGAGAAAGGCTGCAGAGGATCACAAGAAGAAGAAGAAGCAAAGGCAAAAGAGCCCGGAGAGAAAGGCTGCAGAAAATCACAAGAACAAGAAGAAGTAAAGGCAAAGTAGCCCGGAGAGAAAGATTGCAGAGGATCCCAAGAAGAAGAAGAAGCTAAGGTAAAATGGCCCGGAGAGAAAGGCTGCAGAGGATCCCAAGAAGAAGAAGAATAAGAAGAAGCAAAGGCAAGCAAGACCGGAGAGAAAGGTTGCAGAGGATACCAAGAAGAAGAAGAAGCAAAGACAAAATAATCCGGAGAGAAAGGCTGTAGAAGATCCCAAGAAGAAGAAGCAAAGGCAAAGTAGCCCGGAGAGAAAGGCTGCAGAGGATCCCAAGAAGAAGCAGAAGCAAAGGCAAAGTAGCCCGGAGAGAAAAGCTGCAGAGGATCCCAAGAAGAAGAAGAAGCAAAGGCAAAGTAGCCCGGAGAGAAAGGCTGCAGAGGATCCCAAGAAGAAGAAGAAGCAAAGGCAAAGTAGCCGGGAGAGAAAGATTGCAGAGGATCCCAAGAAGAAGAAGAAGCAAAGGCAAAGTAGCCCGGAGAGAAAGGCTGCAGAGGATCCTAAGAAAAAGAAGAAGCAAAGACAAAAAAGTCCGGAGAGAAAGGTTGCAGAGGATTCCAAGAAGAAGAAGAAGAAGAAGAAGAAGCACAGGCAAAGTAGCCCGGAGAGAAAGGCTGCAGAGGATCCCAAGAAGAAGAAGCAAAGGCAAAGTAGCCCGGAGAGAAAGGCTGCAGAGGATCACAAGAAGAAGAAGCAAAGGCAAAGTAGCCCGGAGAGAAAGTCTGCAGAGGATCCCAAGAAGAAGATTAAGCAAAGGCAAAGTAGCCCGGAGAAAGATTGTAGAGGATCCCAAGAAGAAGAAGCAAACCAAAGTAGCCCGGAGAGAAAGGCTGCAGAGGATCTCAAGAAGAAGAAGAAGCAAAGGCAAAGTAGCACGGAGAGAAAGGCTGCAGAGGATCCCAAGAAGAAGAAGAAGCAAAGTCAAAATAGTCCGGAGAGAAAGGCTGTAGAGGATCCCAAGAAGAAGAAGCAAAGGCAAAATAGCCCGGAGAGAAACGCTGCAGAGGATCCCAAGAAGAAGAAGCAGCAAAGCCAAAATAGCCCGGAGAGAAAGGCTGCAGAGGATCCCAAGAAGAAGAAGAAGCAAAGGCAAAGTAGCCCGGAGAGAAAGGTTACAGAGGATCCCATCAAGAAGAAGAAGCAAAGGCAAAGTAGCCCGGAGAGAAAGGCTGCAGAGGATCCCAAGAAGAAGCAAAGGCAAAGTAGCCCGGAAAGAAAGGCTACAGAGGATCCCAAGAAGAAGAAGAAGAAGCAAAAGCAAATAAGGCCGGAGAGAAATGCTGAGGATCCCAAGAAGAAGAAGAAGCAAAGGCAAAATAGCCCGGAGAGAAAGGCTGCAGAGGATCCCAAGGAGAAGAAGAAGCAAAGGCAAAGTAGCCCGGAGAGAAAGGCTGCAGAGGATCCCAAGAAGAAGAAGAAGCAAAGGCAAAACAACCCGGAGAGAAAGGTTGCAGAGGATCCCAGGAAGAAGAAGAAGAAGCAAAGGCAAAGTAGCCCGGAGAGAAAGGCTGTAGAGGATCCCAAGAAGAAGAAGCAAAGGTAAAGTAGCCCGGAGAGAAAGGCTGCAGAGGTCCCAAGGAAAAAGAAGAAGCAAAGGCAAAAAAGCCCGGAGAGAAAGGCTGCAGAGGATCCCAGGAACAAGAAGAAGAAGCAAAGGCCAAGTAGCCCGGAAAGAAAGCTGCAGAGGACCCCAAGAAGAAGCAGCAAAGGCTAAGTAGTCCGGAGAGAAAGGCTGCAGAGGATCCCAAGAAGAAGAAGAAGCAAAGGCAAAGTAGCCCGGAGAGAAAGATTGCAGAGGATCCCAAGAAGAAGAAGAAGAAGCAAAGGAAAAGTAGCCCGGAGAGAAAGGCTGCAGAGGATCCCAAGAACAAGAAGAAGTAAAGGCAAAGTAGCCCGGAGAGAAAGGCTGCAGAGGATCCCAGGAAGAAGAAGAAGCTAAGGCAAAATAGGCCGGAGAGAAAAATTATAGAGGAGCCCAAGAAGAAGAAGAAGCAAAGGCAAAGTAGCCCGGAGAGAAAGGCTGCAGAGGATCCCAAGAAGAAGAAGCAAAGGCAAAATAGCCCGGAGAGAAAGGCTACAGAGGATCCCAAGAAGAAGAAGAAGAAGTAAAGGCAAAGTAGCCCGGAGAGAAAGGCTGCAGAGGATCCTAAGAAGAAGAAGAAGAAGCAAAGTCAAAGTAGCCCGGAGAGAAAGGCTGCAGAGGATACCAAGAAGAAGAAGAAGAAGAAGCAAAGGCAAGTTGCAGAGGATCCCAAGAAGACGAAGAAGCAAAGGCAAAGTAGCCCGGAGAGAAAGGCTGCAGAGGATCCCAAGAAGAAGAAGCAAAGGCAAAGTAGCCCGGAGAGAAGGGCTGCAGAGGATCCCAAGAAGAAGAAGAAGCAAAGGCAAAGTAGTCCGGAGAGAAAGGCTATAGAGGATCCCAAGAAGAAGAAGCAAAGGCAAAGTAGCCAGGAGAGAAGGGCTACAGAGGATCCCAAGAAGAAGAAGAAAAAGAAGAAGAACAAGAAGCAAAGGCAAAGTAGCCCGGAGAGAAAGGCTGCAGAGGATCCCAAGAAGAAGAAGCCAAGGCAAAGTAGCCCGGAGAGAAAGGCTGCAGAGGATCCCAAGAAGAAGAAGAAGAAGAAGCAAAGGCAAAGTAGCCCGGAGAGAAAGGCTATAGAGGGTCCAAGAAGAAGAAGGAGCAAAGGCAAAGTATTGGTAGCCCGGAGAGAAAGGCTGCATTGGATCCCAAGAAGAAGAAGCAAAGGCAAAGTAGCCCGGAGAGAAAGGCTGCAGAGGATCCCAAGAAGAAGAAGAAGCAAAGGCAAAATAGCCCGGAGAGAAAGGCTGCAGAGGATGAAGCAAAGGCAAAATAGCTCGGAGAGAAAGGCTGCAGAGGATCCCAAGAAGAAGAAGAAGAAGCAAAGACAAAGTAGCCCGGAGAGAAGCTGCAGAGGATCCCAAGAAGAAGAAGAAGCAAAGACAAAATAGCCCGGAGAGAAAGGCTGCAGAGGAAGAAGCAAAGGCAAAGTGCCCGGAGAGAAAGGCTGCAGAGGATCCCAAGAAGAAGCAAAGACAAAGTAGCCCGGAGAGAAAGGCTGCAGAGGATCCCAAGAAGAAGAAGCAAAGGCAAAGTAGCCCGGAGGGAAAGGTTGCAGAAGATCCCAAGAAGAAGAAGAAGCCATTGCAAAGTAGCCCGGAGAGAAAGGCTGCAGAGGATCCCAAGAAGAAGAAGAAGCAAAGGCAAAGTAGCCCGGAGAGAAAGGCTGCAGAGGATCCCAAGAAGAAGAACAAAGGCGAAAAAACCCGGAGAGAAAGCTTGCAGAGGATCCCAAGAAGAAGAAGAAGCGAAGGCAAAGTAGCCCGGAGAGAAAGGCTGCAGAGTATCCCAAGAAGAAGAAGCAAAGGCAAAATAGCCCGGAGAGAAAGGCTGCAGAGGATCCCAAGAAGAAGAAGAAGCAAAGGCAAAATAGCCCGGAGAGAAAGGCTGCAGAGTATCCCAAGAAGAAGAAGAAGAAGCAAAAGCAAAGTAGCCCGGAGAGCAAGGATGCAGAGGATCCCAAGAAGAAGAAGAAGCAAAGGCAAAGTAGCCCGGAGGGAAAGGCTGCAGAGGATCCCAAGAAGAAGAAGAAGAAGAAACAAAGGCAAAGTAGCCCGGAGAGAAAGGCTGCAGAGGATCCCAAGAAGAAGAAGAAGAAAAGGCAAAGTAGCCCGGAGAGAAAGGCTGCAGAGGATCCCAAAAAGAAGAACAAAGGCGAAAAAACCCGGAGAGAAAGCTTGCAGAGGATCCCAAGAAGAAGAAGAAGCAAAGGCAAAGTGTTGGTAGCCCGGAGAGAAAGGCTGCAGAGGATCCCAAGAAGAAGAAGCAAAGGCAAAGTAGCCCGGAGAGAAAGGCTGCAGAGGATCCCAAGAAGAAGAAGAAGCAAAGGCAACGTAGCCCGGAGAGAAAGGCTGCAGAGGATTCCAAGAAGAAGAAGAAGCAAAGGCAAAAAAGTCCGGAGAGAAAGGCTGCAGAGGATCCCAAGAAGAAGAAGAAGAAGCAAAGAAAAAGTAGCCCGGAGAGAAAGGCTGCAGAGGATCCCAAGAAGAAGAAGAAGCAAAGGCAAATGAGCCCGGAGAGAAAGGCTGCAGAGGATCCCAAGAAGAAGAAGAAGCAAAGGCAAAGTAGCCCGCAGAGAAAGGCTGCAGAGGATCCCAAGAAGAAGAAGCAAAGGCAAAGTAGCCCGGAGAGAAAGGCTGCATTGGATCCCAAGAAGAAGAAGAAGAAGCAAAGGCAAAGTAGCCCGGAGAGAAAGGCTGTAGAGGATCCCAAGAAGAAGAAGCCAAGGCAAAGTAGTCCGGAGAGAAAGGCTGCAGAGGATCCCAAGAACAAGAAGAAGCAAAGGCAAAGTAGCCCGGAGAGAAAGGCTATAGAGGGTCCCAAGAAGAAGGAGCAAAGGCAAAGTATTGGTAGCCCGGAGAGAAAGGCTGCTTTGGATCCCAAGAAGAAGAAGAAGCAAAGGCAAAGTAGCCCGGAGAGAAAGGCTACAGAGGATCCCAAGAAGAAGAAGCAAAGGCAAAGTAGCCCGCAGAGAAAGGCTGCAGAGGATCCCAAGAAGAAGAAGAAAACGAAGAAGAAGAAGAAGCAAAGGCAAAAAAGCCCGGAGGGAAAGGCTGCACAGGATCCCAAGAAGAAGAAGCCAAGGCAAAGTAGCCCGGAGAGAAAGGCTGCAGAGGATTTCAAGAAGAAGAAGCAAAGGCAAAGTAGCCCGGAGAGAAAGGCTGCAGAGGATCCCAAGAAAAAGAAGAAGCAAAGGCAAAGTAGCCCGGAGAGAAAGGCTGCAGAGGATCCCAAGAAGAAGAAGAAGCAAAGGCAAAGTAGCCCGGAGAGAAAGGCTGCAGAGGATCCCAAGACGAAGAAGAAGCAAAGATAAAATAGCCCGGAGAGAAAGGCTGCAGAGGATCCCAAGAAGAAGAAATAAAGGCAAAGTAGCCCGGAGAGAAAGGCTGCAGAGGATCCCAAGAAGAAGAAGAAGCAAAGGAAAACTGGCCCGGAGAGAAAGGCTGCAGAGGATCCCAAGAAGAAGAAGAAGCAAAGGCAAAGTAGCCCGGAGAGAAAGGCTGCAGAGGATCCCAAGAAGAAGAAGAAGCAAAGGCAACGTAAGCCCGGAGAGAAAGGCTTGCAGAGGCTTCCAAGAAAGGGTAAGGAAGAAGAAGCAAAGGCAAAAAAAGTCGGAGAGAAAGCTCGGAAGAGGATCCCAAGAAGAAAGCCGAAGCAAAGAAAAAGTAGCCGGAGAGGACGAAAGGCCTGACAGAGGATCCCAGAAGAGAAGAAGAAGTAAGGCAAAAGTTTAGCCCGGGGGAAAGGACTGTTCCAGAGGATCCCAAGAAGAAGAAGAAGCAAAGGAAAAGTAGCCCGGAGAGAAAGGCTGCAGAGGATCCCAAGAAGAAGAAGAAGAAAAGGCAAAGTAGCCCGGAGAGAAAGGTTGCAGAAGATCCCAAGAAGAAGAAGAAGCCAAGGCAAAATAGTCCGGAGAGAAAGACTGCAGAGGATCCCAAGAAGAAGAAGAAGGAAGCTAAGGCGAAAAAGTCCGGAGAGAAAGGTTGCAGAGGATCCCAAGAAGAAGAAGCAAAGGCAAAGTAGCCCGGAGAGAAAGGCTGCACAGGATCCCAAGAAGAAGAAGAAGCAAAGGCAAAGTAGCCAGGAGAGAAAGACTGCAGAGGATCCCAAGAAGAAGAAGGAAGCAAAGGCGAAAAAGTCCGGAGAGAAAGGCTATAGAGGATCCCAAGAAGATCAAGAAGCAAAGGCAAAGTAGTCCGGAGAGAAAGGCTGCAGAGGATCCCAAGAAGAAGATCAAGAAGCAAAGGAAAAGTAGCCCGGAGAGAAAAGCTGCAGAGGATCCCAAGAAGAAGAAGAAGCAAAGGCAAAATTGCCCGGAGAGAAAAGCTGCAGAGGATCCCAAGAAGAAGAAGAAGCAAAGGCAAAGAAGCCCGGAGAGAAAGGCTGCAGAGGATCCCAAGAAGAAGAAGAAGCAAAGGCAAAGTAGTCCGGAGAGAAAGGTTGCAGAGGATTCCAAGAAGAGAAGAAGCAAAGGCAAAGTAGCCCGGAGAGTATGGCTATAGAGGATCCCAAGAAGAAGAAGCAAAGGTAAAGTAGCCCGGAGAGAAAGGCTGCAGAGGATCCCAAGAAGAAGAAG